AAATTTTAAAATTTAACTGAGTCAGAGATTGCGAGTCGAGCTCCCTAACCACCTGGCCATGCCGGGCCATTGTTTTTTGAAACATAAAAATTGTTGTTGTTGTTTTGTTGTAATTATTGTACAGTCTGTGAAGGACGTTGTTTAGAATGTCACTGTACCCTAAATCTATTAACGGTTATCAGTAATTGTTATCGTACTTTAAAACTGAACATACTATTAAAAATCTTGCCAAACGTTCCTATTAACTACGACTGAAATATTCTTCAGATACTTGTTTGGCTGAAATGCTTTGTATAATTTTACTATATTAACACATCAGGTGTTGTTGTTTTAGTTTAATAAGGTGAGCACTTCTTATTCACCAAAAAGTGAAATTTGTTTTACACTAATATACATCACACATTGAATGTGCAACATGCAGATAACCGTCTTTAGAAGAAGAAAAAAGTGGTTGTCCTGTTTTTGTGTGCAGTCACCCATTGTCCTCTTTTGGTATTTCTGGACTTTTCCACAGAACTGTCGATGGAGAGTTCGTTAAACTAGTGCTAATGTGGTTGGAGACGGCTTGAATGGACTCTAGTGCCAATGTGTTCTCCAGTGAAATCGGTCGTTTGGAGGTTCAAAAATATCTGAAGATACTGTCTTCTCTATTATTGATAACGAGAGGACTAGATGAAGTGGGTGACAAATGCACTCTGGGAGATTTGACTTTATTTCAATAACCATGTACTGGATGATTCTCTCATATAGAACTTCTTCTGGCAAAGATCTTCTTAACACTTAGAGAAATAAGTGCTAAAGTCTCGAGTCTTGGTGCACCCGTTATTCAAAAAGATGTTAGTCTCGTGTTAAATAAATATATATATAATGATTTTATTTCATTGCGAACCTTGTGCCCACTCTCTTGCCTCAATTTAGTCAGGTCATAATTCGAATTATCTCTGAAATACACTGGCCAACCTCTTGTTACGGGAGGTACTCTCCTTACATGTTAGAACTCAGTGTGCATGATAATATCTCATAGCGACACCGCTACAATTCACGTCGTGATCAAGAGCCTTCTACACGCGCATACATACGTATATGTGTGTGGCAAATTATTTACTTCCTGTTAATGGAATACCTAGTGCGTGCTGTAAAACAAATTCTTCACTTGCACAAGCACCTATTAAAGAATGCATCTAAACGCAGCAAATGATACAAAGTAAACGTAAAAAAAGATGAACCGGAAACAGAATAGTCTCTAATATATAATGATACACTTAAAACTATAACTGTAAACTACTCTTCACTAAACTTCACAAATAAACAGGAAGCAAGTGTGGTGGCGGAGTGTACTAAACAGACTTTCTGGATTAAAGAATTCATCGTTGCAGTCCAATTTCTTATTCTTTACATGCTCGAAATAAATTATGATATCTAAGTAAAACATTTATATAATAGTTGTATTGGTCTTCTTGTCTTCAAAAGACTGAACAAACTATCTGTTATCCTTGGATCTGGATGGCAATAAAACAAGAATAGTTTGTTTTTCATCCCTATTCACTTTCTTTTTAACGCTTTGAGCTATCAAAAAAAAAAAAAAAAAGAAGTAGTGAGGTTAGCGTCGCTCATTTTAGATTCCTTCCAAGAGTTATATAGTTCGATACTAGTTTTCAGGCGCAGATTGAGTAATCGAGCCTTCTCGCCTAAGGGAGAGTGAGAAACACGCGGTGCTCTGTGTATCATTATATCGGTTTGTCCTAGAAAATCCTGTAATCAACTGTATTTTAAGATGTTGGCAATTCAATCAGTAGACCTTTAACATTTACTCGTCACAGCTAAAAAAAAAAAAGATGAATTAAAAAAAACATAGAATAATCATATTTCCAGTGAAATATGCAGATAGAAAATTAAGTTTATGTTTTTTCTGAGATTACATTACAGTTAACTCTCACTAGAGGATGCTATCTTATATATAATTTACAATATAGTATGTTGTGTTTACATAATGTGGTGAAATCTTCTATCATGTATTTTTATTTATTTGTTCGGTAGCATAAAAACTAGTATGAAAACAATAAAGCAAACGTAAAGATATATCTCATTGTAAAGTATTTCCTTTAAATGTTTAGAATGTTCTGTACTGATTAGTAATAAGAACTTATAAAGAAACTATCCAATAGTATAACTCGGTTTTTCTCACTCTAGATTAGAAAAAAAAAAAGACAACAAAAGAACGAAAGGTGATAAAGCTGAATTATTCTTGCTTTGACAGAACTTCAGATTAGTGATCACTATATCTTAGTTGATGTTCATCCTCAACACCACTAACTACGCTGAAGTCAAAGATGTAGTCAAGACGATATTAAGACCGAGTCTGTCGAGACTAAGATCGAGATCAATATATATTTTATGTGACCGAAAATTCAAAAACTAAATTTATTATTATTATTGTTGTTCTCGGTTATGTTCAAAATTGTCATTTAAATTATAAAGTTCAATGCATAAAAAATATATTGATCTCGATCTTGACTACATTTCTGGCTGAAACTGTCAGCCTTATGACAAAAACACGTTCTTTGAGGACGAGATAAGCGATACTAAATGCATTCCAAGTTTTTTCGAAGTATGTTCTTTTAAAGAAGTGGACAACCACTTGGCGGTGCACCCTGAATATTCCTTCATGCAGCAATGCCACGAAAATTTACAAAGGCTCGTTTTCTCTCTTTCTTTTTTGTGATCATTGACTTAGATACATTCTTCAGTGGGTTCAGTTGTCTGGTGACTTACATTACCACTGTCATGGCCAATAACCTGTATGCTCACCTCAGTCTGATTATTAATTAGTAACTAATATATATAAGTACACAATAATTACTAACTTGTTTTATCCTACGTTTTGGCTGCTAATATGCTACCATCTTCATGGCGGCCCTGAGAAAGACGGACCGGCATGGACAGGTGGTTAGGACGCTCGACTCGCAATCTGCGGGTCGCGGGTTCGAATCTCCGTCACATCAAACATGCTTGCCCTTTCAGTCGTAGGCGCGTTATAAAGTGACGGTCAATTCCACTATTCGTTGGTAAAAAGAGCAGCCCAAGAGTTGGCGGTGGGTAGTGATGACTAGCTGCCTTCCCCCTAGTCTTACACTCGTGTAGCTTTGCGCGAAATTCAAAACAACCAACCTCACTGTTTTTGTACTGGTAGTGGCAGGGGTTCCATCCTGGCGAATCCACTCGACTAGGGTTTCCTCCATAATAGCCATACAGTTCTCGGTAAATTAGTCGAAATGTAGAATAAAACTAGTTCATAGTTATTATGCAGTGGGTGGTGTTGACCAGCTGTCTTTCTTTTATTCTGTCCCTTCAAAATTAGAGACGGCTAGCGCACATAGCCATCAAGAAGCTTTGCGCGAAATTCAACAAACAATCAAATAATGCAGTCTACACATGCACGTGAAATACACGTGTTCATACTCTTTCAAGTAAAAATTTAGAAATCAATATAATTGAACTTTGTGACGCGTGGAAGAACTTGGGAACTCGAGTTCTTCCTTTAGTCCTAAACTTTTAAAATTTGTGCAGAAAATATATATACAGAAGGAAAACCCATATTAAGATAGCTGAATACTTATCTCTTATCTGAATTAGTCTAAAACAATGAGGAACACACTTGTTTGTGTTATTCGATGAGTAACCAGTGTAACAAACACGGCAAGGGCCCGGCATGGCCAGGTGGTTAAGGCACTCGACTCGCAATCTGAGGGTCGCGGGTTCGAATCCCTGCCACACCAAACATGCTCGTCCTTTCAGCCGTGGGGGCGTTATAATGTGACGGTAAATCCAACTATTCGTTGGTAAAAGAGTAGCCCAAGAGTTGGCGGTGGGTGGTGATGACTAGCTGCCTTCCCTCTAGACTTACACTGCTAAATTAGGGACGGCTAGCGCAGATAGCCCTCGTGTAGCTTTGCGCGAAATTCAAAAACAAACAAACACGGACGACATTTATCAACTATAATATATCTCTTAGGAAATGATGGATTGAAAGTATGCCCTCTCCTTAAAAAAATCTGGTTGTGTTATTGAGTTCTTACTCACCACTTTCTTTTAGTAATTAAGTAAAAATTGGTCTCAATCGCGCAAATGTAATAATAAGTTCTTTACTTATATATTTTGATAACAGGCTTTTACAGTTGTGGAGATAAAATATCTAATGTTAACATTAGGTTTGTAATAGCATATAGGGACGCATAGTGTTGGCTATATACTGACATTTATTGCCATCTATTGGCAGCGATTGAAATTTTAAAACAAATAAAGTAGGCTACGTATGCAACTGAGCATTTACCTTAACATTTTCAACAAAGCAGTTACTATGAAAGTTCGACACTTGTTAACTACTTCAGTGCTTGGCGCATGTGCATCTTGCAATTCCAAGATCGCGGGGTTAATTCATGCTCTAGCCTTTTTTCTTACTTTAAAAAATAAATTCTATATAATTACCAACTTGTAAAATAATAACTCAACTACGTACCTATTCAACATTTTAAAAATTTCAACTGTCCCTTATATACAGTACAACTCTAAAAGTTTCTGAAATTCTCTTGTTACAGGAAGGTCAAAGTGCGCATGTCACGACCTTTTACAGAGTTACATTCGAAATTTAATTAAACTACTTTACTATCAAGGCATATAAATAAAATTCATTAAAATATAGTTTATAGTTTACATTTTAATATTATACGAGTCTTAATTTCAAAAGGATATATATATATAAATGGTCCACTTTCTGTATCGCATGACACTTCTTTAGTCCAAACTACCCATTTCTATATTTTTATTCTTTCAGAAAGTTTCAGCCGTCACTGATAGCAACTTTTATTTTCAAAAACTACATTTTTATATAACCACAGTACAAACGCCTTACGGATATCTTTCTTTTATTAAAATTTAACGTAAATTCTAAGAGTTCCCTAATGCTTTCCTGCAGACGTAACAGCTACAAGTATTATAAAATAATTACGTACCAAAACTTTTTCGGGCGCACTTTTGATATGTTGTATAAAATCTGTCGCTTCCTTTGCTTTCTCCGATAGTGAGTGAAGATTGTGGGACAGCTCCGTCTGTAAAAACAACACATCGAATAACTACAGTACAATGATGCTTTTATCAGATCTATATTATTACCTTGTTTTCCTCCACTGTGTAGTTGTATGTATGTTTAGCTAACTACTCATAATCAGTTTATAACCATGAGCAGAGTCAAAGGAAATGCATATCTTACGTAACTAACTTGTTTTTGTTGCTATATAACGGTAAATCCACTAAATTTTAATTTTTAAGTGTTAACACTGTAACAGTAACTAGGCAAAAACAGTTATAAAATAATATTAATCACTCCCTCCTCTCCTCCAGATCAGTGTTATGAAAATCAGATATCTGATGACCAATCATGTGACTTGAAACGCAAATGACTGGTCATTTAGCCTAAGGTACATACAATAATATTGTGAGTTTTATAATACACAGAGTTACATTGGTCCAAGGTGTTCATGAGACATGGCTAGATCTCAAAAGATACATACGGATAGTTCATTCGTGCTGAAAACTATCAGACGAAAGAACCCCGATCAATCACAATTGACTGTTGTAAATTGGCTATCATTGTCTCTAAATATAGTTAGTTGAATGTGAAACAGCTTCTAACCTAATGATGCAGTTTCTCAGACGCTGAACAAGACACGCATCATCCACAACGTCGCTATTCGTCGATTCTGTTGTAATTGTACTGTACTTGATGTTCATAACCACAACTTCATGGCGTGTAAGTGTACAGTTATTTAGAAACATACTTCAAATGGTCAGTCTGTGTGTCACATACCCAATGAGACGCATTCCGAGAACAAGATATCGTACATTCAACAGTGATAAGAACACTTCCTGTGGTGAAACATTCTGTTCTATACATTAGTCGCACTTCACCATTCTACCAGAAAACAGGCTTAGGTAGAATAGTACGCTACACGTTTACTGGTTGAAATGTTTCCGATTTCAGCCTAATGGTGATAATGTTTGTCCACACGTACTAACCTAGTCAACACCATTCTTGGAGAAGAAGGGATTTGATCGACTGGGGTGGCCTACGTGCTCACAGTACTTTATCTCAAAGAGTATGTATGGGATATTGCTATGAGACCGCAACATTCTGTCTAGTGACTCCAGACGCTTTAAGGTATTGGAAACAGTCTGCTCTTGATGTTCGTAGAACCCTTACTCGATATTGAAATGTCATTAACTACAACTTACACTGCCTAGAATACCCAGGAAACGTACGAAAATATGCTATATATGCCTACTAGGCATGTACAGATTTTCAATACATTACAACACAAAACAGAAAGTTTCTTGGTTACTAGAGATCTAAATTATAGATATTTCGTTTATACCAGTTATTATAATTTTATTTGTATATATATATATATTTCGGTGATGGAGAGTCAAGACGGTTGAAGGTAAACTCTCAGATTTTTTGTTTTTATTTAAGGCCAAATTAATATCACTCTTGATTTTTTAATAAATGTTCTAGTTAATTCCAAGTTATTTTGATAATACAACAGCAAATTTGGATCACTTTACTTAGATTATGCAATTTTATACTAAATTAGGCTTATGTTTGTTTGCTCTGTTGCTGGTTTTAGCATTGTACAATAACTCTAAATTAGGCTTAGTTATCGTGTTGCTGACGCGACAGAAATTTCAAAATAGAAAGAATATTAGTAAAGTGATACAATGATGCTGCTGTAGAACAGTGGGGAATTTTTATACCATTTAATTTATCTACACGATCTCCTAATCGTCTTTTCGACACTCTATGTTCTGCACAACCACAACTAATAATCATTATATTCTGCATATTGTTTATTGTTAAGCGCAAAGTTACACAATGGACTATCTATGCTATGTCCACTGCGAGAATCGAAACCACATTTTTAAAGCATTATAAGCCCTAAGACTTACCGCTAAGCCACTGGGGTGGGGGGGGGGGGTGGATTTTTAATACTTTCTTTTCTCGTACTGCAACTACTTATTCACAAATCAAACCATACTTCCACTGGAGTTAATACTGACTGCAATATTATCACATTTTCATTAGAACAAAGTTTGTTTGTAGTTAAGCACAAAGCTGCACAATGGGCTATTTGTACTACGGGTATCAAAACCCGGTTTTTAGCGTTGTACGTCTGCAGACATACCGCTGTGCCACTGGGGGTTCATTAAAACACCCCAAATTGTAAAACTGATCAGTTTAATGTCTGTTTCCATGAACAGAACAAAATTTACACACATGCAAATATTAGAAACAAGGTAAAAAATATGCATAAGGAATCTGTTGGTTTTGGTTTATTTTCGAATGCTATATATCTAATAAAATGGTAAAAGACACGTATAAATATTCTGGTGTTGGTTCATCTTAACATATTGTATGATTAATAAAATGATTACGTTACCATTTAGAGCGTGACGAACTTGTTTCTGTCGCTCTGACGTATTTTAACAAAATCTGCGAAATATTGGACAACATATTAAGCAAATAAGAACAACTGGAAAGGAGTTTTTCAAATCAACGTTACTCTGTTATTTGTTGTTTTTTACGTAAAAAGTATGCCATTTGTTGACTAGTTGGTTGTGTTTTTTGTTAAGTGCAAAGCTACAGAAAGGGCTATCTGTGCTGTGTCCCTCATAGGGAATCGAATCCCGGATTTTAGCGTTTTAAGCCCTCTGGCTTACCACTTATATATGTGCGTGCGTGTATATACATATTTTACTTTCTAACACAGGTACTTTCAGTTACATAGGCTTCTTAATGTTCTGCCATGTTCCTTCGTCATTATTTTTTATTCATGAAGAAAATTATGATTAAACACACACATGTACAAGGCAGCATCTAACAGTACAGGAGAATCACTTTCAAAGATCAGAAGTTAAAGTAATAAACGTGGTTATCAAAGTGACAACAATCACACAGCTCTCACAAAAGGCTACACGTCTACCGAGTAGGCTGTGATAAACAATTCAGTCCCATCATTAGTTCGGCCTTGAAGAGATAACAAAAATAAAATTTCCTTACTGTTCTACTGCTACTCATACTGCATAATCAAATATACAGAATTTGTTAAAACGTTTTTTTTAATGTTTTACAACATGTGACGTTGAATAAAGTTAATTATATATATTGGTTAATGAAATTGTCTGTCTCCACATAAAAAAAAACTGCAAAAATTACCCTTGGCAATGATAAATTTGAAACTAAGATTTAGAGGAAACAGTGAAATCTGCAAGTCTTGTATGATGTCTTTATACATACGATGATACGTAAGTTATCTGGTCAACCGAGAACACTGAAAACTTCTAGTGTTCAATAGTATTTTTATATAAACTATGCAGGTCCTAATTAATTATCTAGCCAGCTGGAAATACGGAAACTTCTAGTGTTCAATAGTACTTTTATATAAACTATGCAGGTCCTAACTAATTATCTAGCCAGCTGGAAATACGAAAACTTCTAGTGTTGAATAGTATTTTTATATAAACTATGCAGGTCCTGACTAATTATCTAGCCAGCTAGAAATACGAAAACTTCTAGTGTTGAATAGTATTTTTATATAAACTATGCAGGTCCTAACTAATTATCTAGCCAGCTGGAAATACGGAAACTTCTAGTGTTGAATAGTATTTTTATATAAACTATGCAGGTCCTGACTAATTATCTAGCCAGCTGGAAATACGAAAACTTCTAGTGTTGAATAGTATTTTTATATAAACTATGCAGGTCCTAATTAATTATCTAGCCAGCTGGAAATACGGAAACTTCTAGTGTTCAATAGTATTTGTATTTAAACTATCTAGTTACTAATTGTCTAGCCAGCTGGAAATACGGAAACTTCTGGTGTTAAATGATATACTTATAATAAGTTGTATGATGTTCTTAGTTGTTATTTTTAAATCCTAGACAGAATGTGCATCACATATATACCTAATAAGTTTATGATAAACCTTGTTATTAACTAATATTTTAAAAAAGGTAATTTTTATTTCAGAAAAATCTTCGCTAAATCTTTCGTGATATTGTTGTGTCTGAAGAGCATGTGGCATTTACGTTTTTAAATATTCTAACTATAACAAAAGTTTTTTGAAAAGGTCAATACATAGTGATAGTATATACTGAGAATATTTGATATCTTATAATAAATTAGGCCTATTTTGTTTGCATAACAACTTTTATCACTGAAATGAGCAACTTTCCATATTTTCAGGATTTTAATAAAACATGAACTTGAATGATGCAGCTAGGATTTCTTTTTTTTTTATAGATACAACGACTTTTATTCTTCATCTCATTGCTGTATAAACATTTTTTTAATATATGGGAAGTCCATATTCATAACATGTCATAGTTTAAATAGATTTTATTGTATTTCTAATATTATTACTGTTTTTATATTTGCGTTATAACCTTTTTTAATCAATTCAAACACAGATAACACATAAAACGGTTTGCTTGATTATTTATTTACAAATGAACTTACTACGTTATTCTACCAGGTGATTCTCCACTATAATGGCTTACATCTCTGCTTCAGTTCTATAACATGCAATTAAATAACTTATAATGAAGTTTTTAATCAGTAATTTGCTAAATCTGTCACATCAATAATTTCTTAAGTTCGTATACGTCGGTTCTAATAGTTGCTTTCGGATATTCCAATTTTTATAACGTTAATTCCTGTTGGGTGTGGCCTGTAATAAGCTAGCATAGCTACAGGCTACACATGCAATTAAGCAAATGGCGTTAATATACTAATTATCTTGTTCTTATCAATTTGATTTAGGTTATACCTAAATATATACGTACTGTAGCACCATTACTAATAAAGATGTAAGAGAGTTTGTGATTATACTTCAAATTCTAATCATTTATCTAAAGCACGAGTTTATTTTTAACCTTATATAAACGACGGCTTACCTTTTATAACTTAATCAATATGTGGCTTTAATCTTTCGAAACTGTCAAGCAAGTTACAGTGGTTTAGAATAAGGAAAATGATAGGCAGTGTGAACGAAAAACTATAAACGTGAACACTTAGTTAGCCAATCAAATTCAAGAATAACATTATAGAGTAAAATGAAACAGTTCATAACAACTGGTGAGCTATCTTATATATATGAACACCAATATTTATACAAACCAACGCCTTGAAAAACTCATTGCACGTATTTTATAAAACACATAGCGGCGTAATGACTATCATAAGCTAAAATCAATTTTATACTGCCCCCTAGCTACTCAGCTGTAAGTTTGCAGGTTTACGTCGTTCTTGTTTGACAGTATATTGGGATTTGATCGTAACTTCCACAGGAATCCATTGTTACAGTAACGGGACGCGGACCACGAACTCTGGGATTTAATTGGGGCTCGCTGACCGGCCCTGAAAGAATTCACTGTGAATCACTGCAAAACGAATATAAAACATGACCCAAAATGCTCAAGCACTTTTGAAAGAGACCACTTCCTGAAGAAGTTTAAAAACAATATTACTATTTATCCAGAAATATATAAAACAAACATCAAATAAATACATACACCAAGAAAACGGGTATTAGTTCGTGTCTGACTACAATTTGAACAAAAATACTATATGGTATTAAAAAGACTCAAAAGTTTGATAATTACTTAAAATTAGTACCCCTGTGGCTCAGCGGGAAGTCAGAGGGCTTATAACACTAAAAATCGGTTTTCGATAGTCGTAATGAGTACAGCAAAGATAGCTCATTGTGTAACATTTTATCTAACAAAAAACAAACAACATTAACGTTTCTCGCGATATTAATTAACAATCCAATTTGTTTAATATTTTGTAAATTTGTAACGTTAGTTTACTGGAAATTGTATTTTATTTTGTTGAGAAAATTACAAGTGCATATAAAGTCTAGTAACAATTTTAAGAAGTTTAGTATTCAAAGCCATGAACATTGTCATAAACCATAATCGGAACTTTAGCCAATTGATAACAACAGCATATATTTTTTTAATATGTATATAGAACTTTTGTATATACCATAAATTATGTTCATCTTTCATAGTT